CGATGCCGGGCTCGAACTCAGACTGTGAGATCATGACCTGAGCCAAAGTCAGACACTTAACCGACTGAGCCACCCAGGTGCCCCTGAGCAATCACTTTTTTAAAAGAGTCATTATTTTTTACTCTTGATAAGGGACTTGGCCAAGTGGGTATCTGAGTGAAGAGCATTCCCACCAAGGGCACATCTGGAGCAAAGGCCCTGAGTGGGAAACCTGCCTAGTGTATTTCCAGAGCAGCAAGAGGACTGGTGTGGTTGGAGCAGAGTGAGCAAGGGGGAGGAGTAGGAAGTGAGGTCAGAGATGTAATGGGGGGGGGAGGCAGCGGTGGTGGTAGTGGTGCCAGGATGGGGGGCTGACCTTATAGGTGATTGTAAGAACTTTGGCTTTTACTGTTAATAAAATGAGGAGCCATTGAAGGAATTTGAACTAGAAGTAAGTGTGACATAATTTGGTTTATAGCTTACAATGATTACTTTGGCTGTTATGTTAAGAACAAAAAACTGGGATGGGAGACCTTTTAGGAGGCTACTGGTGCAGTCTTGGCAAGAAATATTCGTAACCCAGGCTAGAGCAATAGCAGTGGATAGGGTGAGAAGTGGTCAGATTTTGGTTAGGCTTTCAAGGTGAAACCAACATAATTTCTTGAATGATGGGATATGGGTTTTGAGAGAAAGAAAAATGTCGAGGGTGACTGAAAAATGGAGTTGCCATCAGGGGAGAGAAGGAAGGTGCAAGAATAGCCGTTTTGGGGAGACAAGAAGATCAGGAGTTCAGTTTTAGACATGTTTACCAGACAGCTGAATGAGGTCAGGAAGGTGGTTGGAGTTTGGAGTTTGGGAGAGAGGCCTGGGGTCCAGGTGTATATTTGGAAGTTACTGTCATAGAGATGACATTTAAAGCCACAAGCCCGGATGAATTCATTGAGGGAGTGGGTGGGTTAGAGAAGACCAGGGGTGGACCATGGGTCGTTGCATCGGTAAGAGAACGGAAGAGAAGCAACCAGCAAAGGAGCCCAGTTCACAGGGGGGGATGATATGTGAACCTGGGAAGTCAGTCCTCTGAGGTGAGGGATCTGCTTGAACAGGAGCATGATGATAGTAGAAAAAGAGATTATAGATAATTAATAGCATACATGTTTAGTATTCATGTATTTTTAAGTTTCCTGTTTAATGGAAACTTCATTCACATCAAGGCTGATGTTAGTTTAGTTTAATACTCTACTGTCTTACTGGATTCATTAATTTGCCTTCTCTTTCCCCTTCTTACTGGGTCTCCAGTGAAACTCCTGTTTCCTATTTGGTAAGGGTTCCAAACGGGCTGGCTCTAGTTTGCCAGCCCTTGGCTGAAAAGATTTTTTCCCCCGCAGGTCAGCTTTGACCTGGATCATTCTTACAGATGCATTGGTTAGAAATCAGTTATGAAGTAGGTTGGCCAGTTCCTTTGAGTCTGTTTTTAGCCGGCATCTATTCTAAATATAGGTTATTTGCATCATCTATGTGGCCTCGTACATGACATATTTGATGGGAGACTGGTCTAGGTGACCTCTAGGATCCCCTTCACCCTCAAGATTCCAGTCCAGTGATTTTCTTAAAAAGTAAAAAACCCGCAAAATTCCTTTTGAAACTCTGTCCCCCATAGATTCTGCAGCACAGTGGTCCTCGGGGCTCTTCCTGTGAGTGAGTCTTGATCTCTTTTCATTTTCCTTCCCAGGCTCCTGATCTAACCTTTTCTGTTCCTTGTGGGCTCTGTCCTCAGCCCTCTTCTTTTCTCCTGCTTTCCACTCTCTGGTGACTTTCATCAGGCCATGCCCTCAATTACCACCTCTACTCTGGTGACTAACCGATGTGTAGTTTAGCTCTGACCTCTCTGTGGAGGCAAAGGCCTTTCAAGGTTTTCCATTACCTAGATGTTAAAATCCAAACTCCTTAGCCTGGCTCAGGGCCCCCCTTTGTGCACCACCTGGTAGCTGGACTCCATTGGGAGGCTTCCAGTATGTTATCCATCATCTCTTTTTTTTTTTTTTTGGAGAGCGAGCTCATGCACGCGAACAGGGCAGAGGGGCAGAGAGAGAGAATCCCACGCTGAGTGTGAAGCCTAATGCTGGACTTTATCCCACAACCTTGGGATCATGACCTGAGCTAAAATCAAGTGTCAACCAACACTCAACCGACTGAGCCACCCAGGCACCCCTATCCATCATTCTTTCTCCTTGCCTTTGCCCCTACTCTTTTCTCTACCATCATTACTTCCTCTTCTTGCCTCTATCTCCCTGCCCCCCATGCCCAGCACACACCAAGCTGATACCCTGCCCTTTGAGAACCTACTCAGGCCACTTACTCTTCATGATTCAGCTCCAATGACTATGTCCCTTGGAATCCCTATAACATAGGCAAGGTTAAAAGCATTTTCTCTGTGTGCCCACAGTATCTTATGCACATTTCCACTTTAGCCCTTGGCCTTATTGCTATAATTATTAGGGGAAAAAGAGTTGAATATGGTTGAACATCAAATATATTTATAAGTTGGTATTTCACTAGACTGAATTCCTGGGAGAAGAGTTTGGTCCCGCTCATTGAGACCTGACATTTAGAAGGTGCTTATTTTGTACTAAACAACAAGTAAGTCTGTGTGAGTCCATGTTTATGAGGGATACACCGACTTTGATATGAATCAAAGTATATTGGCATAAATGGGCAAAATTGGATCTTTTTTATGATTATAAGCCTTTAAGTATATTTTTTTTTTTCTCTTGTAGGAGAACAATTCTTCCAAGGATGGTCTCCCATTCAGAGCTGAGGAAACTTTTCTGTTCAGCTGATGCAGTATGCTTTGATGTTGATAGCACAGTCATCAGAGAAGAAGGAATTGATGAGCTAGCCAAATTCTGTGGAGTTGAGGATGCTGTGTCAGAAATGTAGGAACAGTATTTATTCACTTTATGAAATGATAAAAAATTGCAGAAGAGAGTGACGTTTCAACAACATGTAGGACCAGAGCCACATTTCTCTGATTTTTAGTCCCTGGCTATAAATCATGGGCAGTAAGCTGCTTCTTCCATCATTTACAACTGAATTCACTAGTGTACATTATCCAATCATCCATTTATACAAATATTTATGGAAAAAGGAAAGTTGCCCCTGACAAATAAATATGGGTGACATGCTCTTAGCTCGGTCAGAGGAACGATGACCATAACTAACCAAAGAAGATGACGGGGTGGGGGATCACCATGTGTCCAGTGCTTTGTGTCATGGTTGAAAGTGTGGCCTCTGTGGTTTGCTAGAAAGCTAGTTTTGGTTCAGAGTCTCTCAGTTTATGCCTGCAGTATTATTGCTGCCTACAGTCACCAGGTCACGGACCATTTCATGTTCAGCTGCATTTGATGTGAGACGTGGCTGCAAAATCTTAGTATGATTCTCAAACAAACCTTCCATATGTTTATTCCCAGGCCTCGCTCTCACGGCATCGTAGCATGCGTGTTGTATGGTGGAGCTCTCGGTAGCACCTTCCTCCTGGGTAGACTTTGGAGGAGCTAGGGAGGTTGGGCATGTAAACTCTGGGGACATCTGACTCGTCTGGCCTGACTGTTGGGTCTTCCTCCTAGGACACGGCGAGCCATGGGTGGGTCAGTGCCTTTCAAGGCTGCCCTCACAGAGCGCTTAGCGCTGATCCAGCCCTCCAGGGAACAGGTACAAAGGCTCATAGCAGAGCACCCCCCCCACCTGACTCCTGGCATAAGGTAAGAGGAGCCCCGGTCTGGGTTCTGTCAGCACCTGTGTTTGGGGGCATGTCCTCTTGAGAATCTCTCACCATTGCTCTAGTGCTCCCTTCTGTCTCGTTCTTTCAGCTCTTGCCTGTGGTCTTGTCTGGCTGGTTGGCTGTGCCCACGTCTGCCCACGTCTGCCCACGTCTGCCCTTCCTTGCTCCCTAGGGAGAGCCTAAGCTTCCTCTTCATTTTGCGTTTCTAGGTTCATGGGCTGAGGAGACTTGTGGGATGGCTTCCTAAGCAGTCCAGCCCTACCTATTAATTTCTAAGTGCATTCAGAAAAACATTCATAAAACATTATAATTCACCAGGCGATATACCTTATGTGATGTATTTGGGCAGATGCATTTGGGAGAAAAATATGTTTTTTAGTTTTCTCCTCATGTTTCATGTTTTTTCTTTTATATAATCAGGGTCTGGTATATTATATTTCTTTTTTGCAGGGAGCTGGTAAGTCGCCTGCAAGAGCGAAATGTTCAGGTTTTCCTAATATCTGGTGGCTTTAGGAGCATTGTGGAGCATGTTGCTTCCAAGCTCAATATCCCATCAACCAACGTATTTGCCAATAGGCTGAAATTCTACTTCAATGGTAAGACTTTAATGGTGTCTTTTCCCTTTCTCATCAGTTTTAGTATCCAGTATCTTTTTTTTTTTTTTAAGGGTTTTTTGTTTGTTTAATACATCTGAAAAGAACGCATGTACAAAGAATTGAGACAAAGAATTGAGCATTGGTTCAACACTAATGAATCTACAAGAATTAAGATTTGGGGAAGGCGGAGAAGATTACCTAAACATTTTTAAAAATTGGGAACTGTAACCAAAATAAGCAGATAAAATCCCCATTAACACTTATGAAGAGTCTTCATAAGACTCCATAATTTTTTTTACTAAACTAGAGAGCCTTAACTAGCTACTCTAGGGTTCCTCGTATGCAAAACACAAATAAGGGGATTCCCCTGACTGGTCCCCACGTTGTTAAATGTCCTCCCCACCCCCACCCGCACCCCCAGCTTCTTCATGAAGCAGGTCTGTCTCCATCCTCCAACTTGAAAGAGGATGTGCATCATTCCACAGACATCTGTCTTCTAGCACCACCCCTCACACTTCCTCCATCTACCAGGTCTCCGGCTGTGTTCTAGGAACACTGTATCATACGCTATTAAACTGGACATCTACGCTAAGCATGTAAGACAATGACTGACAGGGAAAAAAACGTTTTTTAATTACGTACTCAATCCATTTGGTGTATTTCAAAAGGTGCAGTACTTTTCTTCATTTATCAGTGAATGAAGTTAGAAATTAACTTCAAAAAAAAATCAGCAAATGACAAACAAATTTCCTTGAAAGTCACAGTCACATATAGAGTGTCTCCTAGAAAAGAGGGGCAAGACAGGTTCCACCCGCTTTCATGAGTTTCATCAAGTACTAGACATACTCAAGGGTGGAGAGAAAGGCAACTTTCAAAAAGGAGTATGTTATTAAATGAGGCGTTTACTATACTCCTTCCTAAGAGCACCAGGTGGGGGACAAGTGCTCTAAACTAGATCTAGGAAGTGGAATGTGGAGTCAGTCCATCCTCCTCCCCTTAAGGGCTGTCCAATGGTTACTGAATTTAAAAAACATGACTAAATAAAAACAAACCCCACACACACTCCCCCCCCCGCAAAAAAGAAAAAAACAAAAACAAAAAGAACAAAAACATAAACAAAACCCCTAAATGTCCCAGATTATTCTCCAGAGTGGATGGAGCCCCGGGAACAGCTTCAACAGCCCAAATTAGTCTGTTACAGAGTCATCACAAGCATGCCTTGCTTTTAAACAAAAACAAAAACAAAACAAAAAAAAATTTTTTTTTTGAAACGACAGAACAAAAACTAGTACTAACCGCTTTTCTGACAATACACAATTACTCAAATTAACTAGTACTGAGAGGGGGAAGGGGACCATATCTATGGGCCTTGTCTCACATGAGTGCATGTGGGTAGGTGCAGGGCATTTGTCATTGCAAAAACGAATTTTAATTTTTAATCTTTAGTTTGATTTAACATTGCTTTAGTACGATGCTGACACCAGCTGTGCAGAAAGGGCTCTGGAGATGTTCATAGCAGCACACATCTGCGGGTCTTCTTCGGTTCTGGAGGCTCCAGGGCAGCCAATATTGCTTCGTCAAATACATTCTTTAGGCCTTGCTGTGTGAGTGCAGAACACTCCACATACTTGACCGCCTTCAGGTCACGGGCCAGCTTTTCAGCAGTCTCTGGAGTGATAGGCTTCTGTTTGTTCTTGGCAAGTTTCTCAATCGTAGAGGGGTCATCTCGGAGATCAATTTGGGTCCCAACAAGCAAGAAAGGAGTCTTTGGACAGTGGTGAGTTATCTCAGGCACCC